TAAAATCATAAAATAAATATTGAAAAACTGAAAAAGAAAACTGCACTTGACTTTGAATATGAATAGTTCTAAAAAAAAGTACTATCTCAGTCTTTAATATAAGAGTTAGTTTAACTTTCAATTTGATCTCAAATATAAAACTCCAATCCACTTTGTTTTTCATATTTATCCATTTTTTCCAATATAATCTTTGTAGTAGTTGCACATATTAAATGTTTCATCAAGCGGTAGTTCAAGGTAATACTCATAATTAGCAGTGTCATTTTAGAAAAGATAACACCTATTTATTACAAGTAACTAACTCAATAAAGTTTCTTAATCTACTCAAATTAGTCAACTAGTTCTTGTATTAAGGATCCCTTTTGCTAGAGTATATATAATAATTAAGATCCACACATTACTTTTTTATTTTTTCTTTTCTTGGTTAGTCATGTTAATAGCACCTAAGTGTGTGATGACTGTTCTTTTAAAACCCATTTAGATCAAAATTTTCAATTTATTCAAAAGATTAACCATGATAGAAAAGAAGAAACCTTAAAATTTTAAAATCACTATCATGGTTAAAAGAAATAAACTTATTACGAACATGTCGATACTTAACTTGGGCCTTAGACTTCCAAAGTCCAGAAATATCATTCAACCCTTAGCCCAAACAAAACTCATACTTTCAAACGAATGTCACGTACAAAGCCTTAGAGACCTCTAGCTTTCTAATAGCCCTCTCATCAATTAGCAGTAATCAAATGTATTAGTTCACAACATCAAAATAAATGAGCCCTATGTGGCAATATATAATAAATTAGCACATAAAACAAACGAAGGGAGGCTATACAAGCTGTGATAGCACACTAAGCCTCTGAGGCCTTCCCTGACAGATCATCACCTGAACTATCACCTGAAAATGTTAAACCACAGGTGAGACAAATGCCTCAGTAACCAACTTTCCAACTCATCATACATACCAACACGTGCTCGTGAGGTGTCAAGTGGGATAGTTATTAATTCTTAAGAAACATAGATATGTCCATAGAAATATAATTTTAATCATCTAAACCCTCACTATGGGGGCCAACACACAAGCCACATAAGTCTATCCCTCACTATGGGGGATCAATCAGACATATAGGCCTATCCCTCACTTTGAGGGACGAATAAGAAGCCACAAAGGCTTATCCCTCGCTATGGGGGAAGAAGGAAGAAGCCAACCAATGTGCACCAATAGCGGCCTTGCCACGTGGTAGGATAGCGCTCAATCTAAAATCCAAATAACAACCAATGATTCACAATATCATTAAAATGTCTTAATTTTTTCTCAGTATAATCCATAAGATATAAATCATATATCTTTTCCAAACTTCTCAATCACAATTCTAAAAATCCCACAAGACAATTTTCATAGCTCAAAAGATATAATATATCTACTCAAATTCCCAATAACAAATATTATTCAAAAATAAGAAAATACTCACAAACAACATATTAGTACATATAACAAGTGGAAAGTGGTTATCTCTCGTCAAAGTAATAGAAGGATTATCACGAGGTCAATCCTTTGCTCAACCAATAATTAATTTACACAATTAATATAACCACATATTAATATAAACTAATTAATTAATTAATTAATCGAGCTTATATATTAGTTAAATTCCTAATTTAATTTAATTTTCATTCTAAATTCTCACAACTCTTATAACCCAAAATTAAGTACTTTAGAACTAACTGATAATTTTCTAACAAGCCAAATTATTTATTTACATCCACCAACTTATTTACTTTAATAAAAAGAATTTTTCAAGATTTCTAAATATGAAATTCCTATATTCTAAATTCTAAAAATCTCATTTGAAATTTAAACCTCAAAACCGAACTATCAAAAATTCAATAGTGTCTCAAATATTTATATATATAAATGATCTAATCAAAATTTTAATGGCATATATATTTTTTCATGAATAATAAACTTTGACTACAATAATTATTTTAAAACCTCCAGTCACCCAATAAATAAAACTAAATTGATTAAAATCTCAATAATATGTCAAACAACCCAAATAAATTATTTAACTTAATTTTAATCGGTACAAATATGATATATCTCATAAATAATATTTTTTTAATTAAAAATTAATTTTTAAATACTAAAATCAATAAATGGATAAATCTAAATCGATAGAAATGATCTATTATAACAGATCTATAATACTATGGTTAACACTCATTAAAACTAAATACTTGCTCCAAATTCTATACCAAACATTTTCTCTAGGTAACATAAAATTACTATCATTAGATAGATCTGACTAAGTAGAACAACTTTCATGAAGAGAATTTTGTAATTAGAAGTAGTTTTACTTACCAAAATGATCTGTAATGATGAAAAGAGAAGGGAGAGAGAGCGACGCTGTGAGCAAACAAAGTAACGCGGAGAGAGAGAAGGAGAAGGAGGAAAATGACGGGGATAAGGTAAAAAGAAAACACTCGGGGTAAACTGAAGTTAAAGACCCTAGTAAAACAGAAAAAATAACATTTTGAACCCCTTTTTTTCAATTTTTGAATATTTAAATTCTTAGAGTAGAATTTAAGATGTTACAAAGTGCCTTTTGATGTTTTAACAAGCTGATGAGATATCTTAAATGAAAATGAAACCAATACGACACCAAAGACAGCCATGAAAAAATGTGTTATCTAGAAATTGTTAGATTCTTTTACGACAGAGTATAAGGTTTATAGAAAGGGCAGTTTGTCCCCTTTCATAAAAATGTCCTCACAGCGATCTTAAATATAAAGTCTATTTAAAAACTTCATTTGATTTGATACTAAATAGACAAAATCCAATTCCATCTTGTCTCATATATGAATTACTTTTCTTTTTCATAATACCCCTATTTATTATGATATGTTTATCTTTACGCATTAAATTCTAAGGGTAATTTTAAATACAGGTTACAAATTCTCTATTAATTTTAAATAATCATCCTACCGTTGTTGTACTTTCCCTTTCATTATAGACATAAGTCATAGGAGACTTTAGAGACAATAAAAAGTTTCTGGGAGAATTACTTGAGGCCTCAAAAATGAAAGATAATTACTAAAAAGTTTTAATAATAAGTAAACAATTGAAACTTGTTATTTTCTGCTCCACAACTTGTTACTACAAGCTACTCAGTTGTTATGTGACCATTTTTTATTTAATTAATATGTTCCCTCATTGGGGCCTTACTGCAATTCTCATAGTTTTCCCCCATTTCATTGATGATTGATGGGTTCCAGAATTGTCCTAAAGACAAAATGACCTGCCTGAGTGAGAATATACATAGGCCGAAAAGAATTGGAGGGACATATTCTTCCTACCACATGAATTTTCCAGATATTGAGGTCTTGTAATCCAAAGTTTGTAATTACTTGGACAAATATGAACACTTGGAGGATTCAAAATGTGAAAATGCGAGGAAACTTCCCATCCAAGTTGAAAATTGTCCACTGAGTTCACCCTTGATGAATGAAAGGACTGACAACAACCACCTAATTGATGGTAAAACTCAAGGGAACTAGTTTCGGTATTTATCACAGTGATAAGCATTATAATACGCTACAGTGAAATCTACACCAATTCAAGTACAATTTTAATAGTCTAGATTTAAAATTTTTAACCAATAATTTTTAATTTTTTTTAAAAAACGCAGTTAAGAGATTATATTTATTTTGAATTATCTACCTATTAAAAATATTTTTTTAAAAAACGCAGTTAAACTAATTCCTTAAACTTAGAAAAGTATCAATATAATAACATCAGCAGTGACGACATTGGAATTGCGACATTAATTTATAAAAGGCCACTCGCATCTGCGCTATACACCAATAGTCAAGATGAGAGCCCTAGGAAGGAAGACGCTTGCCAAGTTGTTAGCTGTGCTCTTCATTGCTGTTCAGTTTCATATGATCCCAATCCCAATCTCTCTCGCCGACGCGGCAGAGCATCAAGGATCCTCCTACCACCGGCCACCTCTGCCATCTTATATCCTTAATCATTTACCATGTGCTAGGCGTGCAACTCACAATCCTAATCCGCCATGTACTAATAGTGCCTGCATTCAATGCCGAGATCCACCTCCACGAAAGAGGCATGACCTCAAAGGCCATACAAATTTAAACCACCACCGAAAAGAAAGCCACCAAGCCCCGCCCTGAGTGAAACTCAAAACTGAAGTAAAAGAGGTTCCAAATGGGCATCACAAGTCACCGTCAAAATATATGATTATATAAGAAAGCTTATATGTAAGATTGAGCCTACTTTTTATTCACGTTTAATGCTCTTTTTATAGATATATCAACTATTACGCGTGCTTGTTTTAGACTTTCAATGCCACATTGTCTTTTCTTTTAATAATTATACCTTTCCCTCTTATAGCGTCTTCTTTTCATTCTACTAATCTCATTTCTCTTTCCCTCTATTAAGTAAGCCACAAATTAAATTAACCTTGCCGGACCTTACTAATTACAAACCCATGGTCAAGTCTAACGAAGTAACTTAATTTGGAGGTTGGTAATGTGTGTTTGGTTTCACGTTAGAAACCACCAAAACCATAGTTCATTTTTGATGATTTTTTAACCTGAAACTAAACACGCGTTTTGCTTCATAGGCCCAGGATCTATGCTAGTAGAGTTAGCAAGCAGCCGAGTGATTAGTTCACATATGGAAAGGCAAAGAATGAGATAGGGGGAGAGAAACACATGCTTGGTGAGATGATATCACAAACATTGAAACTCTGCAAAATTATGTTAAGCGAACATAGCATCAATAATTATTGATAGTTTTGTTAAAATAAAATTACACCAGTTTTACTCCGACTTAAAAATTAAATCATAATTGAATCTTTTGAGAAACTTTATGAACTATTCTTAGTCCAAAGACTCAAGATAACTGGGCGACTTTTCCACGGAAAAGGGGTGCGTCGACTTGACCTGAAAAAGTTAAAAAAAATTAGCATAAAGATAAGATGGTGTTTGATAGGAAAGGAACAAAGCAAGGAAAACCAAAACAGCAGCTTCCTCAGTTGGAAAACCAAACCTCAGATACTTTCTGGGGAGGAAGGTTATGGGGAAGACAGAGAAGGGAGTGTGTGCAGATCTCAACACGTTGCATGTTCGATGAGTTAAATAAATAGATTATTGAATTTTTCCCTCTAGTTCTTCTCTTCCTTTATTCACCTCGTTTCCCCCTTCTTGCTTTCTATCCCACCTCCAATTTTTCTCTTCCCCTCCTCTTTCTCTCCTTTCCCCTTTCCCTTCCCTGTCATGTATCAATCTATTTTTCAGAGTCAATCTTTTGCAGTATTGTTCATGAGAAAGTGTAAGTTGTGACAAATGTTAAAATCTCATTTTGAAATACCAATACTTAATTAAAACAAGATATAGGAATCACATGCATATTTACCTTCCCAAATATAGAGACTGGGACTTATATAATTATTGATTGTTCCAGCCTTCCTCTTATCCATATGATATTGATCCCATATGGCTTCATTAATTTCTTCTTATCCTTTTCAATTCTTCCTTCCCAAGACAATTAGAAACTTACCTAAATCACATGCATATATTTACAAATTACAATTACTTTAACTTTATCCCCTTCATTATTTTTTCCCTTATTCCTCAAGTTTCTTTGATCCTTATCTACTTCTTTCTTTCTTCCCAAGCCCTAGATTTATTTTTATCATTATTATCTAACACTTTATTTGTTTTATACTTTTGCCCCCAAAAAATTTAAATATGTGATTTTAGTTCTTAGAGATCATTCTATCTATTAATGATATTGTTTTTGGACTTATGCTTAACCAAGCTCAGTAACCTACCTAATTTAAGTTTATTATTGAATTTTTAGACTTAAAATTTGAGATGTTACATAATTCCTGATCGGTATTATAAAATATCCCCAACCACATTATCCAAACAAAATATAGGTTAAGTCAGTTAAAATAAAATCAAATAAAAAATTTATTATATTTAACATCATGAATTGTATCTTGACATGTTGAAAATGAAAATTGCATTCTAATTTTAGATATCGACAATCTTGGAAAAAATATAACTAGTATAAAAAAAGGGAATGATGGTACCATTGTATCATATCAAAACATATACTACCTCTGATCCTTAATATAAAATCAGTTGACTAATTTAAAAAGATTAACAAAATTACCAAATTACTTAATTATAGCATATGTTATATTATATCTCTAAAATACTTATGTAGATCATTAGATTATATATCAATTTATGAGTCAGGTAAATTAGTTCAATTTAGGAAAAAATGATAAATATATATAGTTTAAAATAATTCAATAACTTTTTTTAAAAATAAAATTAGTCAATTGAGTTTTATATTAAGTACCGAAGGTAGTGTGTGCGTGTGTATATATATTAGAACTAAAAGATTCTAAAACTTTAACAAGAGAGTTTTTGGCCACCCTGTCTGTTGAGTAACTTTATATTTGTGGCAAGCTTCAATCTCCCATTGTCTGTTGAGTAAATTCTGGATCTCACAGACAAGCTAAAACCCCTTCGCTCCTCCATTCGTATACATACATGCAGGCATTTATACAAGGGCTAAGGTCTAATGTGTCTTTCTCTAATAGTCTCTAATGCCGTTTGAAATTTCCTAAATTTCCTCGTAGCATATATTTATATATCCAGGCTAACTCTAGAATAGATTTATTTTATATTTATATATCATTTAAAATTAATATACATTAATTAATTAATTAACCCCAACTGTTTTTATATGTTTTTCTCTTGGCGATTTGATCTTTCCTGACTTTGAAGTTTATGGGTGCAAGTAGGGAGATGGGAAGGACATAGGTGGGCTCTAGTTAACGTGATATTTTCCACTTGAATGAAATATGAAAAGATGTAAAACCATTCTTTTTGATCTTCAAGATGTAAACACATCTACCTTCATTCACAGAATTTCGCAAATATTAGTTGTCATAATCAGATGAGCTCCAAACATGTTCGAATTCTTAAAAAAAAAAATTCAATCTCTTGGGGCCCATCAATGGATTGTAAGAGATTTTTGAAAATCTCCTCATTTAAAGAGTCAAAGAAAGTGGCTGAACGCATTATGAATACATTTGAATAGTCTATATTAAATACTATCTCCAGTCCTATTTATAAGAGCTAGTTGACTAATTTCAGGAGATTAAGGAAAGAAGTTAAGTTAGCTATTTGTAATAAATAGGTGTTGTCTTTCCTAAAATATCCATACTAATCAAGTGTATTGGCTAAAACTATTATTATTAGAAGGATTATATTGAAAAAAATGCATAAATATGAGAGACAAAGTGTATTGGGGTATTATATTTAGGACTAAAATAAAAGTCAAATAAGGTCTTATATTAAGGATCGGGGTAGTATTAATTTAGTAGCGAAATCCATTTTCAAAATATTATTGCATTCAGACTGGGACGTAAAGATAAGACATGCATCCAGGGAAACAATCAGATGTGCCGACTTCCTGGCACGAATGGCCCACAATTTGATGGAGGAATATTGTGTGTGGACAAATCCGCCTACTGGTTGTTTGAATCAACTAGGATTAGATTCCGCGCAGCCAAATATGGTCATGGCGGACCGCAGTAGTTAGTAGCTCAAGTTTTAACTTGCCTCTGTAATATAAAAAAAAAAAAATATTATTGCATTATTGCAGGACCTCACCATCCCTCTTTTTTTTTTTTTACCAGCATCCCATTTAATTTATGTCCAATCTTTCGTTTTAATTGACTAATAATGTTAAGCGGACACAGAAATTTCCACCATGGATGCGACCCACAACTGCCATCCTTTTTTTTTTTTTGTAATAAACTTTTCTTCATATTTCTGTTGATTGCCTAAATCAAGCTTTGAATATTTCGCATATGTTTTTTCTTTGTTATAAAATCTTTCTGAGGTATACAATTAATTACCCGGCAACCATCACTCTCAGTATAGTATTTATTCGAAGCATTAATGTCCTTCTGGGTCTTAAGTCTAGTAACAAGCCATATGCCTTCTACAGACATGGGAAATCTTATCTTTCATTTCTGCTTTATCTTCTTCATGATTTGCCCAGGGTTACATGCGATTCTGAGCATAAGAGAGTGAGAATACTGAGTCTTGCAAAGATGGGTCTTAATGGAAACTTACCCTCACAGATTGGCAATTTGTCGTTCTTAGTAAAACTTGACCTCAACAGCAACAACTTGTGTGGTAAGATGCCAAAAGAGTTGCTTCAGCCGCACAGGTTAGAAATTCTGAACTTGAGTTATAATGCATTCAGTGGAGAAATCCCAACTCGGATTGGAAGCTTATTTAGGCTTCAACACTTGATTCTTGGCAATAATAGTTTCGGAGGCATCATTCCTGCAAGTATATCCAATTTGTCAAAGTTGGAGACCTTGGATTTGAATTCTAATTCCCTCCAAGGATCTATTTCCTTTGATATTGGTAGGCTTCAACATCTTAAAATTTTACGGCCTCCTGTGAACCGCGTTTTTTAAAAAAAGAAATAACACCTAAGTGCCTTTTGATGTTTTAACAAGCTGATGAGAAATCTTAAATGAAAATGAAACCAATACGACGCCAAAGACGGCCATGAAAAATTGTGTTATCTAGAAATTGTTAGATTCTTTTAGAATAGAGTATAAGGTTTATGGAAAGGGCAGTTTGTCCCCTTTCATAAAAATGTCCTCCCGGGGATCTTAAATATAAAGTCTATTTAAAAACTTCATTTGATTTGATACTAAATAGAGAAAATCCAATCCCATCTTGTCTCATATATGAATTATTTTTTTCCTTAATAGCCTTATTTATTATGATATGTTTATCTTTACACATTAAATTCTAAGGGTAATTTTAAAGACATGTTACAAATTCTCTATTAATTACGAATAATTATCCTACCGTTGTTGTACTTTCCCTTTCATTATAGACATAAGTCATACGAGACTTTAGAGACAATAAAAAGTTTCTGGGAGAATTGCTTGAGGCCTCAAAAATGAAAGATAATAAGTGAAAAGATGAAACTTGTTAGTTTCTGCTCCAAAACTTGTTACTACAAGCTACTCGGTTGTTATGTGACTTTTTTTGTTTTTTAATAAATATGTTCCTTCACTGGAACCTTATTAAAATCCTCCCATAGTTTTCCCCCCATTTCATTGATGATTGATGGGTTCCAGACATGCCCTAAAGACAAAATGATTTGCCTGGGTGAGAATACATAGGCCGACAAGAATTGGAGGTACATATTCTTCCTACCGCGTGAATTTTCCAGATATAATCCAAAGTTTGTAATAACTGGACAAATATGAACACTTGGAGGATTCAAAATGTGAAAGCGCGAAGAAGCCTCCCATCCAAGTTGAAAATTGTCCATCGAGTTCAGCCTTGATGAATGAAAGGACTGATAACAACCACCTAATTGATAGTAAAACTTAAGAGAACCAGTTTCGGTGCTCATCGCAGTGATAAATATTATGAAACGCTACAGTAAAATCTACACCAATTCAAGTACAATTTTAATGGTCTGCATTTAAATTTTTAACTAATAATTTTTAAATAAAAATTATTTTTTAAAAAAACTTGTCATTAAAAGATTATATTTATTTTGAATTATCTACCTATTAAAAATATTTTTTAAAAAACAAAAGTATGAAAAATTAAACCTCTTTATATCAAATTTGAATAGTTGAGATTCGATGAGTATTATAGTATTTATCATTGTGATGAGCATTGAAACTAATTCTTTAAACTAAGAAAAGTATCAATATAACGACATCAGCAGTGACGACATTGGAATTGCGACATTAATTTATAAAAGGCCACTCACATCTGCGCTATACACCAATAGTCAAGATGAGAGCCCTAGGAAGTAAGACGCTTGCCAAGTTGTTAGCTGTGCTCTTCATTGCTGTTCAGTTTCATATGATCCCAATCCCAATCTCTCTCGCTGACGCGGCGGAGCATCAAGGATCCTCCTACCAACGGCCACCTCCGCCATCTTATATCCTCAATAATCCACCATGTGCTTCGCGTACAACTCACAATGATAATCCACCATGTTTTTAGAGGCTTGCTTTCAATGCAGAGATCCACCACCGAGAAAAAGCCACCAACCCCCGGCCGCCCACTGAGTGAGCCTCAAAACTGAAGCAAAAGAGGTTCCAAAGGGGCATTACAAGTCACCGTCAAAATATATGATCATATATATCTCTAAAGCTTAAATGTAAGATTAAGACAACTTTTTATTCACGTCTAATGCTCTTTTTATAGATATATTCAATGCCACATTGACTTTTCATTTAAGGATTATACTTCTCGCTCTTATCGCGTCTTCTTTTCATTCTACTAATCTCATTTCTCTTTTACTCTATTAATTAAGCCGCAAATTAAATTAAGCTTGCCGGACCTTACTAATTACAAACTCATGGTCAAGTCTAACGAAGCAGCTTAATTTGGAGCTTGGTAATGTGTGTTTTGTTTCACGTTAGAAACCACCGAAACCATAGTTCAATTTTGATGACTTTTTAACCTGAAACTAAACGCGCGTTTTGCTTCATAGGCCTAGGATCTATGCTGGTGGAGTTAGCAAGCAGCCCGCGTGATTAATTCACATATTGAAAGGTAAAGCATATAAAAACAGGTTAAAGATATATGTAGGGGGAGAGAAACACATGCTTGGTCAAATGATATCAAATACATCGAAACTTTGCAAAATTAAGTCGAGCGAACACAACTTCTGTTGGAAATTGTGTGTGTAAAAAAGAACAAGTCCCACATTGCTCAAGGGAATGAAAGCACAAGTCCATAAATAGTAGCTTGTGATCTTAAACCAGTGAATGGGCTTGGGGGGAAGGAAGACCTCACGTGTATGACCATGAGCCACTAGTAGCAAATGCAATGAAAATTCAGCAATTTGAATTTTGATTTAAGCTGATCTAAGAACTATGATTTTATTACATTTGAATTTTGAAAGCTTACCGTTTGGTTTTTCACACTCCATCAATAACGTACAGGTTAATTACCGTTAACACTCAAAATGTATATGTTGCTTAGATTTATTGCCGCAACATTTGTAATTGAGTTTTTAATCACAATTAACATGATTAAGTCAGGGCCCAACATCTCTTGAGTCTGTGGCCTATATAAGGCAGAGCCTACATGAGGTTTAGGAATCCCACACTTGAGCTTTTATGCCTCTCATTCCTTTATAATTTCCGTTGCCTTGCTAGGTTTATTTTTCTTCTTCTGCTATTCTATTCACCTTGTTCTTGCAAGAGGAGTCCTTTTAATCCTGGGGAGTGCCACTTCCTCATCTGTCGATGGTCACGGAATAGCTTTTAAGGAAAGCGCTCATAGGACGTGACTCGAACTAATCATTTTCTAGAGGTGCTACCGCCAACAATCTTAAGAGCTAGTTACATCAATGGAACAACCTCACAACACTGTTGGTCAGAGTGACAATGATGCTACCCCAGTCACTGTTTTTCCCACAGCGGTTCCTATTCTTAGGCTATTTCTTGACACTTCAAAAATAAAGACATTTGATGGAAGGAACTTCAAGTGGTGGTAGGAGCAAGTTTATTCTGTCCTTAATTGACATGCATGAAGTAGCTGTTGCTCTTGCTCAGTCTGAACCAGCCCTAGATGCTGATCAAGCCCAGAAAGATATTTGGACACATGCTAATAAGGTTTGTAGACACACTCTTATCAGTACTTTATCTAATGATCTGTTTGATGTGTACTGTGTCTATAAGAAAGCACACAAGATATGGGAATCTCTTATCCTCAAGTGCACTGCTGAGGATGTTGAAAAGCAAAAATTTGTGGTAGGGAATTTCTACAAATAGGAGATAACCAAAGAGAAAGAAATCAAGCTTGAAATCAATGAGCACTATAAAAAAACATCATATTAGCGATAGAATTTAGTGACAAAATTATCAAAATTAGCAACGGAATTTTTTCTGTCACTAATTCCACCGTCACTAAATAATTCGTGACAAAATTTAAAATTTTGTCCCTAATTAGTGACAGATTACTAACAGATTAGTGACAGAAATTTTCTGTCGCTAATTTTTGTTGCTAGTTAGTGACAGATAACCCATTAAAATTTTGTCACAAATTAGCAATGGATTTGCGACGGAAATTTTTGTCAACTAATTTTTTTTATTTTGTAAATTTAAAATACCACATGGCAATAATTAATTACACCACGTGTCATGTTTGTGACCACCACCTCATCACCGGCTGCCACCTCACATTCTCCTCTCTCTTCCATGTAGCCATGTCATCCCCCTCGTCCACATCATTGCCACGTGTCCATCATTGTGAGCTTCCACGTCATCACCAGACGCCACCTTATCAACCCCCTCATTTACACGTTGCCACATCATCTTTTCATCCATGTCATCGCTATGTGTCCATTACTATGAGCCGTCACATCATTGCCTTGTCCACATCATCGCCACATCACAAATTGACTCAATTTTGTGAAAGAGTGTTGGTTTGATCCTAAGACTTCCTGTATGTGCATTGAACCCTTTGCCAGTTGAGCTGAGAAGTGCCTGCAAAATTTTTATACAAAAATAAATATATGTAATATTTCTAATAAAAAATAAAAATATATATGATAAATATTATATACATAATCTAATATATATTATATATTTAATAATATATTATTTATTTAAATTTAATTTTTATATATTAGTAAAAAATTAATAATTTATATTTTTATTCATATATTTAATGAAATAATAAGTATGTTGTATACTGTATATTTTTATTTCCTTTTTTAATATTTGTATTTTTAATTTTTATATAATATATTATTTAAAATATGATATTTTATATTTTATTTTAATAATAATTTTAAAAAAATAATTATTATATATTTATATTATATTTTTTGCGATGGATTAGTGATGAAAATTAGTGACGGAAAATGTTTTGTGATGGGAGTTAGCAACAGATTAGTGACGGAAAAATTTTATCACTAATTTCCGTCACTAATCATTTAAAAGAAAATTAGTGATGGACTTTTGATAGAATTTAGTGACGGAATATAATTCTGTCCCTAATCCTTGGCAAATTTAGTGACAAAAATTTTCCATTACCAAATTCTGTCGCTAAAATTTGTAAAGGATTAGCGACAGATTAGTGACGGAATAAAATTCCATCGCGAATTCCTAGTTTTTTTTTGTAGTGGAGTACCACAAATTGCTGGAGGAGCTTCGTGCTGAGAAGATTAACCTACCAGATGAGTTCGTACTTGGCATACTGATGAGAAGCTGCTAGAGACATGGAGTGACTACAAAAAACAATTGAAGCACAAACAGAAGCAGTTGTCCCTGTCAGATCTAATCACCCACATAATAATTGAAGACACAAACAGAAAGGCCATACAACTTGCAAGACGAAGAAAATAGCTGCCAAAGCAAACTTGTTGGAGGCAAAATCGCACTTCAAGAGGTATGATCCCAAAAGCAAAAATAATAATAAA